GCACCATCGGAATGGCCGCGAACCTCGCCGCGTCCAGCAAGTTCCGCTGAACGTACTCCTCGACCGTAAGCAGAGGCTTGCGGCCCGCAGCGCGTCGGCGTGCGCGCCGGCGGCGGTGGTCCATCGAGGACCCGGGCCACAGCGACCGTACGGAACCAACGCCGCTGCGCAGCCAGCCCGGGGTACTCGGGGCGGTGAATACCCGCCCCAGCGACGTTGTCGCTCCCCGTCCGGCCGGCGCAAGCGCTACGGTACTCGACGGCGCCGGCGCCGCGTACGGCGCCTCGGAAGCGGCCCTTGTGAGCGCCGTACCCGCAGCGGGCAGCGGCGACATGGGAGGCCGCGGCAGCCCCACGGGGAGCTCCGGGTCCGCCTCGACCATTCTTGGAGCCACGCCCACGAGGGGCAGCGGCGGGGACTGTGTTGCTTGGGCGCCCGGCGGTGGCGGAGCGACCGGTACGGGCGAATCAATTGGCGCTTGCGCGGGCCCCGCCACTCCAGGGGGCGGGTGCAGGCCGTCGCGAAGGCGTCGCCGCGGTTGGAAGGTGGGACCGACCGGCGTCGCTGCCGGAGCCCGAGGCGGGCTCAACGGCTGCCTGTACGCGCGCACAGCCGGCGTGTCGCGATGACCGTCCATCGGTTGGTTGAAGAGCTGCTGTAGGGGAATGTCGTCGTCGCTGTCGGAGGAGGTTTCGGAGTTCGCAGGGGAGTGCTGGGGAAGAGTTGGGGGGTCAGTGGGGATCGCGTGGGGAGAATCGGAAGACGCGCTCTCCGAATCGGTCGAACTCGCGGCGTTATATACCGCCAGCTCGCTGACGAGCCAGGGGGCATGATCGTCCACACGGAGGGGCTTCTGTTCCCGCATCGTGCGCGAAAGAAGGAAACGTCCGGAACGGACCCGCGCGCTCGAGTAGAGGGTCGCTACGGGGACGTAGCGAAAGCTAAGGGGGAAGGTCTGTAGTATAACGACCGGCGGGAGCGCGCGGAGGTCATCGGACGGCCGTATACGGTATACACGTGGGCGGCTATGTCCACGTGTAGCGAGCGCGCGCGCATGCCGAGCGGTCGTAATCTGGCGTACGTGTACAGTAGTGCACGTGTCGTCCGAGCGGTAGTCTACGCATGTTACGCGTGCGCGTTAGCACACGTGTCGTCCGTGCGGTAGTCTGTAAGCAACACGCGTGTACAGTAGTGCACACGTGTAGTAGCAGCGTCCGTGCGGTAGTAGCAATTATGGCGCTAGTTTTTTAATTGTGTACAGTACCCGGCACGCACTAGGCGGCAGGTACTGTACTACTCTACTGGGACAGGTGTCGGAGGCGTCCCCCTGCGGGGTTAAGACCTGGCACCCGTCCCCACCAGTAAACGGGGGCAAGCTCGCCCCCGTCCCTTTTGCGCCTACGTACGTCGGTTTTCGGTTGTCCGCCGCGCGCGCTGGCTTCTAACCCGTTACCGGTCGCTCCCGTTCACGCACCACGGGGCGACTGCGCGTAACCGGCCAGTGAGCCACTCCCTTTTCGCGAGCTCGTCCGATCGGTTCAATTGGCGCGTGGCGTCCGCGCGGCGTGCTCCCTCGCCAAAGCCTCCGCCTCTCACCCAACCCAGGGCGGAGAGGAGTTATCCCACAGCGACGTCTTGTGTCTTCTTCCTCGGAGGGAGTTTCTGTACCCTCCGAGTTATATCCGTGAGCGCCGGGTGTGCTTCTTCTGCTCGACCGATACGGCTGTCGTTTTTCTGTCGCGAAGCGCCCCAGGCGATTTTCTGTCCCGCGAGGCCAGCCGTATCGGAGAGTACGGGAGGGCCATTTTCTGCGGGCCCTCCTGTAGCACCATAAATTGGTGGGAGGTGAATGGTCTTACCCTCCGGGTGAGGGGCCATTGTACCGATCCCGGGTGCGGCGCCGATCGGTTCAGCGTGCGTTAGCGTAGAATCCGGAGCGGTTGAGTGGCGCTGCGCGCGTGCGTCGACTCCTGCTCCGGCGATGGTTGTGGCCAGACGATTGGCCACGGCGGAGCTGATCGCTCCCTTTAGAGCCGTTCCGGACAGGGATTCTTCATCCACAGTGGTGAGCGCGATCACCACCTCGCATTGGACTTGAGCGGGTAGAAGTTCGTCCAAAAGCGGTGGCGGTCGCAGCAGGGCTTCTGGGTTCTCCATCCGGGGGCGAGGTGCGCCACTGCCACTGCGGGTGCTCAGATGCCCGGAGGCGCAGTCTCCCCTTTCTTCTGGTCGGCTCATTGTCGAATACGCTTCGCGATCGACGCGGTGATTTCTCAACCTTTTCTGTCCGTACGGTTCTGCACGCGATTTGGCGACTACGCGTGCAGCTCAACCTCTAGAGTTATCTTCTCCACAAAAGTACCAAATGGATAACTCCTCTCCGCCCTGGGTTGGGTGAGGGGCGGAGGCTATAGCGAGGGAGCACGCAGCGCGGACGCGACGCGCCAATTGAACCGATCGGACGAGCTCGCGAAAAGGAGTGGCTCACTGGCCGGTTACGCGCAGTCGCTCCGTGGTGCGTAAACGGGAGCGACCGGTAACGGGTTAGAAGCCAGCGCGCGCGATAGACAACCGAAACGGACGTATGTATGCGCGAAAGGGACGGGGGCGAGCTTGCCCCAGTTTATTGGTGGGGACGGGTGTCAGGTCTTAACCCCTCAGAGGGACGCCTCGGACACCTGTCCCAGTATACAGTACCTGCCGCCTAGTGCGTACCAGGTACTGTACGCTATTAAAAAACTAGCGCCTCAATTCCTAATTACCGCGCGGACGCTGCAGCTACACGTGTGTACTGCTGTACAAGTTCCATACCCCAAAAGTTGAACAGATCAACAGTCACCTTTGGAATATAATCTTAAAAATACTCGATTATGGCCGTCTCAGATGCAATAGAAAGGTTAGAGTGGAGGGAATCTGTTTACAGATTCCCTCTCATCTCAATCAAAACAGGTGCGACAGGGTCCGTCCATTGGTTCCTCATTCCCTGCCATCCAAATTGGTCTCCAATAGAACCCAAAACTTGAACACAAAATTTATTGGCTGATGCAAATAAAGCATCCAAAAATATTCCCAAATTAACTGTCTGAGATTGAATCTCGGGTGCTTTGCATGTTTGCCAACTTGGCAGAGCGTTCCTTCATCGCAGCAGTTCGCTCCTTGGCAATTTGACGACGAACCGCTAACGGCTTTGGAGCTCTATCGCAGACACCATAACGCTTAATTCTAAACGCCAATGCTTTTGCATCATGTCGCAAACGCTCCGCACGCACACGATCGCTAGTTTCAGCTTCTTTCCGAGCAGACTCTGCTAGTTTCTTTTCTTTTGCGGCCAGCCTTAGCGTATCGTTCTTGTGCTTTTGGTTCGCCAATACCATGGCCTGAGGGCTCGTTAACAGGAGGCCACTAGTTGTGTCTACAAAACCAGACTTGGTGACAACAGGTTGGATGCCCATAATTTCTCTCCTCCTCGCTCGACGCCCCTTCATCAGTTCTTCCAATTGGCAAACCGATAAAATTTTGTACGTGTTGATTGTAGATGCAGGTCGGGGAGTGTTCAGCAAAGCTTTGTAGTTGAGCGGCCAAATTCCAGACTTCTCAAATCCAGAGAGCACATTCTTCCTAGTGAATGCTAATCCGTACGCCTCTCTCATTACCTTCAAGTAATCAAAAACATCATAAAAGTTGGTAGAAAAGGGAGTGGCGAGCTCCTCAATGCAGTTTCGTAAATGTTCTTTAAATGGACCAAATACGCTGACGTCGAGCGGCTGGGTGCTCCCATTGGTATGCGCGGGGAGGGCATACACAATGATACCATGAGTTTCAAGCAATTTTAGAATTGGGTAGGCCATGTGGCAGCGATACCCGTCAAGAATGAGCAAAACTTTTCTACCGTTATCCGTCAGTCCCTTCATGTCTTCGGCAAAGACAGCAGCCCAGTTGTAGAAATTGTGTGAGTCGACACTTGCCACTTCTTGTCTTGTTGTAATCAAGCTGTCACGAGGAAGGCAGTCGGCTACAGTCTCCATAACCCTGATTCCGTTTTTTCTAACAAACCGAAACTTAAGTTGTGTACCCCGGATTACGAATAAAGGTCTCCCGACATGACCGTCTGCAAAAACAACTGGCATCATTGTGATGCGCTTGACGTTAGAAAATTTAGGTGCCTGCTGTTGCGCGTAGCTTCCACGAAGGCAGTAGCTCTTAGTTCGAAGCGACTTAGTACAGTCGTTATCAGGAGTGGTTCCAGTTTCGTCGAGGTTGGCTATTCGCGGCGCGTCAATGTTGTGCTCTTGGATAATTGCCTCTAATCGAGCAAAATGTTTGGTAAGATTGTCAGCATTCGTCGCACGCCACCTTGCCTGTTCCTGTAGGGAGGCCCTTCCGAACTTGATTCGGCTTGCATGTCGTTGGGCAAAAGCTTTTAAATATTTTTGCCCAGGTTTACCATCTTTGAATGGTAAACGTCTCTGTCGTTCTAAAGGCATAGAAGTCACGAGATCCTGGATGGCGAGGGCAACATCATTACGTCGAAGATTAAATCCACGGTGAGCATAGCGAGCAATGAGTTCGACTACAGTGTTTTCCTCCGCTGCTGACAAAAATTTGAGCCTTGCTTGAGGTTGGGATTTTTTTTGCAGTCGGTATTGGAATGTTGAGAGAGGCAATCTTGCAATAATGGCGGCCTCACGGCGAGTCGCCTGTCTGTTCTCTACAGTCTCAACGGCTTTGAGAAAGAGACGCTCAGGTTTGGAAGTCTTGCGAGACTTCATGCCTCGACACTACAGTGCACTGGGGAGACAGATCGGTGCGGTTTGAAGTTGAGTTGGGCTGTTCCCAGCATTGGAACACACCTGTTGAAGGATGTATTCCATGAAAACGGAGGGCGGCAGACTTGATTCTGAGATTTGTATTTATATTTAGCTGACAGTTTCATCGCTGAATTGAATGTTGTTGCAACCGAGAGCTATCCGCACTTGAAATGGTACTCTAGTCGATAAAAATTACAAATTTTTGCTTTGTTCAACTTTTGGGAACGTGTTCAACTTTTGGGGTATGGAACTTGTACACACGCGCTGCTTACAGACTACCGCACGGGTGCCACGTGTCCTAGCGTACACGCGTAATACTAGCAGACTACCGCTTGGCCGACACGTGCACTACTGTACACGTACGCCAGATTACGACCGCTCGCCACGCGCGCGCTCCCTACACGTGGGCACACCCGCCCACGTGTCCACCGTGCACGGCCGCACGGTTAATAATCTCCCCGCGCGCGCGTCCGTCGTTATACTACACTGAGGTACGGCTACTACTTTTTTCTTGACGCTCCTTGCGCGACGAGGCTGTTAACGAATACGGATACTCCTGAGCATGTTAGGTTGATGGCTCGGAGGCAGGTGGATGGGGCAGTTGACATGAATGCATCCAAGTTGTTGACGTATGTGGTTGTGATGGTGCTGCGGATTGAGGATAGCTGGTCTTTCTCTTGCGGCTTCAAGTGTTACTCCCTCCGTCCAACGGAGCTTCGTCGCCTGGGCTATGTGGAAATTGAGTGCTCCGGAGTTACAAATCTCCTTCTCTTCTCCAGATGTGCTCGAGAAGATACCTTTGAAGTAAAGCATGGTCAACGGCATCCTGTACAGACCTTTCATGTTGAGAAATCCTTGCAGCCCAGCTTCCTAGGGGTGCATCATCTGGCTGCAGCGTTGGCGCACTGCTGTCAGTCCATGGAAACACCCCTCCGTTCACCAGGTCTTTCCCCTCAATTGACTCGCTGAGCTCCCCCATGCCGCTCTCATAGGCATCTCTGCGTGACTCTACAATCATATTGTGAATTGTTATGCATGTCATCACGATATTGGCCATATCTTCACGGTACCACAACCTTGAAGGGCAATCCAAAATTTGTCAGCCAGCCGTCAGCACACCAAATGCTCTCTCAACATCTTTTCTAACCGCCTCTTGTGCCTTTGAAAATCTCTTTTCTTCATTGTTGGCAGGAGTTTTGGTGGTTTTCACAAAAATAGACCAGTTGGGATATATGCCATCTGCTAGATAGTACGGAAGTGAACGAGATGTGTCGTGAGCGAGGTATGAGAATCGAGGTGAGAACGTTCCTGCAAGAATGGAGGCTGTTGTAGGCGAGGAGTCCATTAAATTGATGTCATTGAGAGAGCCCGGTGCTCCGAAGTATGCATGCCATATCCACAGTTCCACATCGGCAATCGCTTCTAATACAATTGTTGGTTTTTTTCCTTCCCTTGAAACTGTCCCTCCCATGCCATGGGACAGTTCTTCCATGCCCAATGTAGACAATCGATACTGCCAATGCAGCCTGGGAATCCCCGTGCAGCATTTATGGACAAAATGCGTTTCAAGTCAACCTCATTTGGTTGACAAAGGTACTCTTTCCCAAAAATGTCCAATACGATCTTACAGAACGCCTTGAGAGATAATAGACAAGTCGTCTCACTGAGTCGGAGATACTCGTCCATTGAATCTGCCGCGGTACCATAGCATACGAAGCGCTGCCACAGTACGTTGCAAGGGATGGATTCTGGGCTGTTGCAGTACATCGAACCGCTGAATAAATATGTCCTTTCCTTTTAAGGGCCATGTGTATGTATACGGTTAAATACAGTCCGAGGCATGCGAAATCGTCGCTCGAATGAAGCCTCGTCGTATCGCGGAAAGGCCGAGAAATAATCTTGCTGGAGATTGGAATAAGCCCTTTCGAAGTCCTGATTGACGTTGCCAGATCTACCAGGGCAAGAACCGCCGAAGACTGGCTTTTCCTTTTGTTTTTCGTGCGGTAGGAGACCCCCACAGATGAGTGCAGCGACAGCCATGTCATCATCACTTTCGCCATTTGTGTCACCGTCCTTGAAGATATCCATACTGTTTTTTCTTGAAGACATCTGATGTGAACAGAGTTTAGCGGTGGGGTTTGTTTCAGCTCTTCATTAGACCAGGCTGGTGTACTGGTTCACCAATAGACCAACCGATAAATATTTTACAAGTGGCAGTCATTGATTGTACGATTTCAATAGAACAGCGTGCGCGTTGGATTTGGCCTAACCCAATACTGTAATGGGAATTGCAGGCTTTGCAGTTCTATTCCTGATGAATATAATTTTATGTACAAGTACAGTATACTGATTTTTGCTACCGCTGCGGACGCTCTTAAGAGAAAAAGGCCATCGAAGCATTTGAAATGACTCGATCATTCGGTTTGTTGTCAAGATAATGTCTCACAGAAGACGTAAAGACACAAGTTAATTATTGTTGGCTTACGACTCAGGCGAACGGCGCAGTCCATTCGTATGTATTCATATTCTGCCCTGGCATCCCTACGCTTGATTTCACAAGACGTTGACGTGATACAGACCTGCTTGCTGGGTAGTGTAGAAGGCTGGTCAGCTTCCACAAGACGTTGACAGTCTTGCAATTACACACCCGGCTTTTGGTCACAATGCATTCCCTTGCTCTGATTCTGATTACGATGTCACACTTTCCACTATTTCTGTACTTTAATATCTATAAATTTGAACCAACCAAGAAGTAAAACGCTTCTAGAATTTTCTAGGAGAAAGAAGCGATAAGACACTCTAGCTAGTGTTCCCATGACACTACGTTTACGGAACATGGCTCTTGTCCGAAATACCGCTCAAACATCACCTGTGCTGGGGGCGTTAACAACAGTTGTGAAACGTGAAGCGTGAAACGTAAAGCGTGAAACGTAAAGCGTGAAACGTAAAGCGTGAAACGTGACATGTAAAATGTGAAGAAAGTGAGCCGTTGTGATCGAATGTCACCTTATAGTAGTCGATCAGGCAGAGTTTTCTGAGACGAGACGTCATCAGAAATGGAAACCACTTGTCCCCTGGTACTCACAATGATGAGTTCTTAGTAGAACAACGCGGAAAGGGCAATGATTCCTAATTCGTCTTCAAAAGAGCAATTTGTGCAGATCTGAGTATAATACCACGGGGAAGAAGGTGACTAATGCTTCCGATTTTTGACTTCCCCGAGACAAACTGTCAGGAGTAGAACGTGGCTAGAGAAACCAGGCAACAAGTGAGTTGTGCCATGTTTCATGACACCAATTTGAATCATTTTGTCTGTAGGACCATCAAGCTGGAACACAGTTGTCTTCTGGAGCCTATGACGCAGCATACCTTTGCTTGAGGCTAGACGATAGGTGCAGAGCAAAAAGGGTGTCCAGAATACATCCGAAACGCCAACTCCAGTGCCTTGCTAGGGCCAGCTGAAGTGAGAACCAATAGCGCTTTTGCGTTCAAAGGCACTTTTCCAGATACATGGTTGTTTGCGATAGCCACTTTATATGAAAAGTGCTCTTCTTGCCCCAGGCAGTAATAAAATTCCAGCATTTATCCTGATTGTTGCAGAATTGATAACGGCCAACGTTTCCTTCTGGCTTTCTCAGGAGGGCTTGTTCGAATGCCACTCTTTACAAGTCATTGCAGCGGCCACGAAACTGCCGAGCCTAAGAATATCATCTGGCCCTGCCGATGCGCGGAAAACGACAAATAAAATTTGTGTAGCGGCTACACACATAGCGAACCTGAAGGGGCTACACTGTAGCCCCTTCAGGTTCTCTGTGTGCACTCATGCTGGCCCTTCTGTAGAAAAAAAGTTTACACGCTACTGCTCGTCCGTTTGTAGTATTGTCACCTAGAGTAGTTTTTCCTTGCAGTTTGGCCGCTCCGTCACGATGTTTTTTTTTGCTAAGCTTGCAACAACTATTACCTATCTTCGCCGTGCAGCACTTTCGCTGTCGCACTTCTTCAACTGAAACGCTTTGTGCATTCTATACCGAAGCACCACTGCCATTTTCAGCATTGCTGAAAGACACCGTCTAGTATGGGAGCCTGCTTCAGCTCCTCTGGGGGCGGTGGTGGCTATAAACCTCAACCAAAGACTCCAAGGGAACCATTCTTGATCACGCTCGCCTTTCCAGGATCTCCACCATTTAGCTTCAATGTTTCTCCCACAGAAAGGGTTTTTGACATCCGGAAAAAGGCTACAGCTGAAATGGGGCGACGAGCTCAAAACGGTGTTGATTCTTGTAAGATTGAAGGAACGATCATGACAGTTGATGGGGACTCTGGTGAGAACGTACATCTGCGGGATAATATGACTATTTCCGAGGCTCAACTTGAGGCGAATCAATATCTTTGGTTCCATGACAAAGCTGAAGACTCTAGGGTTCAAAATCTCCTACTTCGCAGCTCTCGTTTAACTGATAACACATCACACAACAGCAGGGGTGTGAAACAGGGCATGATGCTCCTTAAAGAAGAAGATGCCTACTGAGAAAGGGATTTGAGAATTAGGACATCGTCCGGAATTGTGTAAGTCGATACAGTTTATCGAGAAAGGAAAGGTACGTTTCGACCTGGAGAAGTAACATAATTTAGCAGAATGCTGCAGTCAATGCTCCTGCTTTCACAGAAACTATATCGACTGCGCAAAGATTTTCGCCCGGGCACAGGGTTTGCGAACATGCGGTGGAGTTTCATTGGTATTTTTCTTCCACAACATGAGTTTCCTCCACATGAGGTTGGCCTCGACACCAATTTTGTGTAGGGTTGTCCCGGGATTACACTTGTCATTATTATAAACTGACCTCTTGCTTAAGTTACAGACCGTCTCATATGTCAGAAAGCTCTTGATTGACAGTACCTTTGCACATAGTCACAAAGAGTAGCAATCTATGACTTTCAGATAGACATCGTAGTATATGATTTTGTACCGAAATGGAGCTCAAGTTCCCGGTCTTCCGATGTAACCACAATTGATGTGTACTTGAGTGAGTTACAAAGTCTTCGTTACTGTGATATATGAATAGATATTTGAATGTTTAATGAATTCTTTGACGTTGTTTTTAGTGGCACTTGTACTTAAAGGAGAATGCCTGCTTTTGAAAGCCTGAGTCGGCAGTGCGTCGATTCTGGATATGCAGCCGTATCCTGATGACAGGCCGTGCGAAGAGGAACCAAAAACAGAGCTGATGACTGAGAGAAAGAGCTGACGATGGTGATACTACTGCTGTCAGCTCTCCTCAAGAACAGGACAGCTCTTTGTCAATAGACACCCTCAGGGCAGGAGCTGATACAAGAGAAGGACATTGCCACCAGCCCTCTGGAGTATGGTCCTTCCGTACAGTACCCTTGGGTACCCTTGGGTACTGTATGATTGTCATGATGTACCGAAGCAACTAGGGAAATAGATGCCGCCGGATCCAACTGCCATTCGGCCCTTGTCATACCGAAGGGTACCATTGGCACTGTACCATTGGTAATTGGACATGCATAAAAAAGGAGCTCTTGTAGGCCTCAACAGCTGTCCTTCACGCCAATTCGTCAATTGGTCGACGCATAATTTGTCCTGAATCGTGACGAAACAATGCTACCGGGTATCCGTTCTTTTAAGAATCTTGAGCTCAACGTGCGCTCCCTTGAAGAAATGACCTGAACATCGTTTTGCAGAATCGACACATGCTTGTTTTGGTTGAATGCAGCGGCCGGACCCCTCTCCCTGATTTGTTTTTGATGTCAGCTTTTGTGAACCAACTGTGTTTACAGCACTCGAAGACTGTGCACCGCCGATGTGCCGCAGCGAGAAAGCGTCCCACCTCTCTTTCGTCGAGATCCTCTTATTCCGCAAACTATTCCCGTTCTAGAAACAACTCTCGTTCTTGCAATTGGGCGCGAGAGGAACAGGCTTTGTCTCAGAAAAGGCCCTCGACGACGACAGTGAGTAGTACAGGTATCCATGGATCTGATCATGGTTCGTCTTCTCGAAAAGCGACACCCGCAACAATACCGCAGACAGGCGAAGACTTCACATTCTCTTCCGCATATACAGAGCAAATACCACAATGGCTTTTATCCCGTATGACGTGTCTTGGATTCTCCATTCCAACTCCGGTGCAAAAATCAGTTCTGGAGCATGCTTTGCCTTCCATTGCTATGGCTGCCGGACAGGACGTGGTTATCCATGCCCAAACGGGATCAGGGAAGACGCTTGCTTATCTCCTTCCGGCTCTAACATCCATTGAACCGAAGCGTTCATCCGTCCAGATATTGGTCATTGTCCCTACTCAGGAATTGGGGATGCAGGTTTACAGGCTCTTGAGAAGCCTTGTATCTCTGTATCCACAACTTAGCACAAACGATGACGACGGAACTGATCCTGAGAATGAAGCAGATTCAGGAACGGAAGTCGAGAGCAAAAAGCACAATGTATCATTTCCGGTCCTCGCAATGTTGGACCAGGCAGACTTCCGTCGCCAGAAGCTGCAGTTGCGACAAGTCGCTCCGCGCGTTATAGTTGGGAATCCACTTCGTGTTGCTCAGCTTGTCGACAGCGGACGGTTACGCCTGGATCTTTTGAAGGTTCTAGTTGTCGACGAGTTTGACGCATGCCTGCTTGATACCACGACCACGAATGCACTTCAGACTATCTTGTCAGTAAGGGGACGCGAGCGACCAAGACAGACAATCCTTGCGAGTGCCACCGTCCCGCAACATCGCCATTTCCTTAGGCAGTGCGTCAGACAACGTTGGACGAGACCGGACATAAAACATATTTGGGTTGAGGAGAAAAGCAACGAACGAGTCCCGGCGTCACTAAAGCATTGGTACGCGTTGTGTGACGGCAGCAAAAAGCTTGCAGCGCTTCGTACATTGCTTATTCGATTCAATAAGGAGCTGTCAAACGGTGCTACAGGAGGCCTAAGTATCAGGGCCATGGTCTTCGTTATGCCTTCCAGAGAGATCGATGATATCGTGGACGCATTGAATCATAGTTTCGACAAATACTTCGGGGTAGAAGAAGGGAAGCTTGTCGTTGGACTTAGCAACAACTTGGCCATTATTCATCGCAGGCAAGCAATGAAGCGGTTCAGGGATGGAGACGCAAAAGTGCTCATCGCAACGGATGTCGCGGCTAGGGGTTTAGATATTCCGGATGTCTCGCATGTATTTCACCTAGACTTACCCACAGATCCAGACTCGTACCTCCATCGCTCGGGACGAACGGGCCGACAAGGTCGCCCGGGAAGTTCTGTTGTATTGGTAACGCCTGGAGAGCAATTTGTGATCAGTCGCACAGGAAATGCACTGGGTATCGATTTCCACAGGGTGGAAAAGTAGGAACAGAAGACTTTCATGCAACGGGTACAGTAATCAATGGAGACTAGCGCACTCAACTTGATTCCAGGTACTTCTGTTCCACGTGCAGACACTTGCGTACGGCTTTGTTTGGAATATCTATCGGCAGATTATTGCAAGTCGAGGAAGGATGGTGTTTTCCAGCAGAAATACATAGACCATAGTCTTTGAACGCATAACCCGCGACAATCTTGTTGTTCTTGTTTTGGCTTCATGTAACTTCTCTTCATAATACTCACACCCTGGCTAACCCGTTACTAAATATCAACTATGACATAAGTCTCCACACGACCTTCTTCTTTGTCGACGACTTGGAGGTTTGAGTAAGTGACAGCTTTGACCTCTGTGCCTTGAGAATGCTTTGTAGCATCGAATAATCCGCCTCTCGCCACCGCAGTAAGCTTGAACTTGTCGGTGTCGAAGTTTACGGCTGAGCCGTTAGCTTCTTCAATTTCATTGACAATGATCTCTTTCATGACGTAGCTTTCGGTAAGAAAAATATAGAGACATTCTTGCATGAAATTAAACAAGAGCGTTTCTTTGTTGTGTCCGCTGACAACGACATCCATCTGAAGATCGTCTTTGATTTCGGGCAATTCCACCATGTAGCCAAACATGCCAACCACGGCAGCGCCGAAGGCCTCCTCAAGATTTGCGCCCCATGAATGAATCTGAACATCGGCTGTGTGGTCTAAATATTCCCAGCCTCCTCTCTGCTCACCAGCGGGTGTCTCTGAGAGACGAGGAGCGTTAGTTGATAGGGTATCAGGATTCGTTTCCTTGGAAGGAAGCGTCGATGCTGCTATGTCGCGCCATACTGAACGCTGGGGCAGCTGCGGCCACTCAACGGTGATCACTTCTTGCGTAGTCATTGGGGTGAGAATGAGGTTACTCTCCGTTATATGTGGCAACAAACTAGAGAATGCGGGAGTTGCAGGAACAGATGCTTTGAAGGACTGCGGAACGGCTGTTTGGGCGGAGTATCTTCAACTGATGTGTCCCAAAGGCCTCGTTGTGGGGGTAGCAGGTGCGCACAATCAGATTGAGCAGACTGAAGCGCTTTTGCACAATAAACAGGCCTTCACCTGTCTTTCGTACCGCGGCAACCTACCCCCTTCGGCGTTCACACACCGCTTCCCGTCGTGAACCAAGAAGCAGCGTACTTAACGTTCTTTCGCTGGCACACGTGCACGTGCATGCCTTGATCATACAGCGGTACTACTGTAGATGTGTGCTGGAGAGAGAGCATTTTCCCGGCCCTGCTTTGATACTGTACTGCCAATATGATACTGCTTGTGCACGCCGTTTTGTTTATTTAATTGGCTGTTTCTTAAGGTTCATATTTCTCGTTGACGCATTGCTGTAAAGCATGATTCGTCGTCCTACCTATCCCTCACCTTTTGACGAATATCCGTGGTACATGCTTGATAACTGCCACAATATACTGTATACCAGCTTGAGGAAAAAGTATCTTTTTGCAACACGAAAGGGTATCTTCTATTCGGTCTCTTCGTCCACACGCTCACAACCCTAAAACAGATAATCCCCTGTCATTAGTGTACTGCACCGATTTTGTTAAACATTGGAATTGTTTACTGCTGATAGACGTATCCCGTAGGTAGGACTGCATTTGCTCTACACACTTCGTCTTTCCGAAGCTGACGCAGCCCCTATCGCTATAAATGTTCAAGGACACTTCTTGCAAACCAGCAGTCATGTCTAGCACATTCGGACACGTGGCGCATATCAAACCATCCCCTCTCGTAGCGGCATTGTTTCGCTAAGAACTATTCTTTCACAAAATTTCCAGGCCACACATGGTGCCGTGGACGCGCTTGACATTCCCATAGATTCTGTACGATCGAAGCGATTCTCGATTTTCGACAGATGAAAAAGCGTTTCCTAACATTCAGACTCTCATTTTCAAAGCCACTATACAATTGAGATTACCGTCTCTTTTCATAATAATTGATGATATGGTAGATTACCATATCTTAGTCATGCCCAAGGCTCATGAATACAACTTGCCCCCTTGAGGGAAAATTCGTTCGAGTCCATTGCCTCCACTACTCAAAAGATCCGTAATGTGTTTTGAAATACTCGTACCACAGAAATGCATCGCCCGGAGAGGGGCGAGCAGCGCGGAAGCCACTGAAGGCTCTATTGAAGAGGTGTAAGTGCTTGCTTTGATTCCGTTCACGTATATGTCGCCATGAACAGTTTGGGGGTTGTACAACCCTCTGTGTGGCATCCGCTCTATTCTTGTGACTCGCACTGAACCGCCGTCATCACTAGTCAGAACATCGCCAGTCACGACGGCCGACGCCTCAGTCACTACATCTTTCACATATAAATAATGCCCATCACTCAAGTCAATGCTTCGGCCATCGCTTGTGGAAATTCGAACAAAGCTGGTGATGATAGCTCTGTCTTGATGGGAGAACAGAAACACGTCTGAAAACTGCTCCTTTCCTTCTCGTGTGTATCCAACAAACACGCTGTCGCCTATCCGCAATTCGTCCATACGCACCTGTCTCCCGATCTCTGTTCTGACAGTTGCAGACGCTGGGAAGCATGCCCCATCTGCACCTTCCTCGTCGCTGCTATTGACGGCAAATACAGGGCCGGACTCATCGTTTTCTCCGTCGCTGTCGGCCGAGTCCGATTGTGTGCCTTCTTCGGCGCTAGCGGGAGTCGGCGTAGTCGTGGGCACGGCTTGTGTTGGTGCACCGGTAGATACTGGGGTCGCCGACTCGATGGGAGGGGGTTGCACAGGATCCACGGCATCGGTCTGCGTCGCTGCCGAAGGAGGAGGAGTCCCAATTGGCGCTGGCGCGGACGTTCCGACAGGGACGGGTGTTGATCGCAAAACATCCTCAACTTGCGCAGGTTCGATGGCAACTGGCAAGGGTTCCTCCTCCACATCGTCGAGAGCCGTAGTAAAGTCCTGATCTGGGTCCCCGCTATCGAGTAATTGGCGGTGCCGGGAAATCTTAACCACAGTGAAATCGTCAGCGTCTGCTCCAGAGCTGAGGCGTGCATTGACGGGATAGATGAAGTTTCCATATTCTGACACGGCGACAGGCCCACTCAGTAGAGCGCTAGTCAGCGTCCGAATGTACTTTGCGCGACGCGGGTTCGTGCCGCTGACCTCCAGGACTGCGACAGAATTGGTATGTGGCATGGAAAGATACAGGACGTTTTCATTTGACGAATCAAACAATATCTGCAACGCGCCTGGGAAGAGGGTCATCTTCCCTAGAACATTGACGGTACGCATCTCGCCGGAAACCTGGGTTTCCGAAATGGTACACACGTACAACTGGCCAGTGGCGGAATTCAAAAAATAGGCAATCCGCTTAAACTTCTGAGTCCATTCGACGCCGTATCCGTTAAACCCTGAGCCGGTCTGGTTCCATTCTCCTGTGAACGGGACTGCGATGCCCTGATACGTAAAGCTGGGATCCAGCGGTGGCGGGTGCCCTCGTAGCGGCCCGGTGTCCGCGAGGCGCAAGTAAAATAAGCGCGGCGAAGTAGAGTCCATGATTAGAAGCTGATACTGTGTCTGTATGCATCCTGAAAGATACAAGGGTTGGTCGGAGGATGAGGGCTCCGCGACGCGATAAGACTGGAGCAACTCGCCACGACGGTTAAAGGCATAGACCAGACCAGACTCCCTCCCCGTGGCATACAGGGTGCCCAGACCGCGCGAGTCGAGGCAGAGTCCCGCGAAGCGCTGGTCATCACCGCCTTGATTGAGCATGGTGACTGCACCGGACTTGATATCGACGAGGAGGAGCTGGCCCGCAGTGGTGGCGATGTAGATTGTGGTGCCCAGGCCAGCTACTGCGGCGACAGGACGTTGGATGGGGCGCGAATTCTCGGGGGCGAGGAGGATCTCGACAGGCCATTCGTCTTCGGTTTGGGTGCGGACTGCGAGGAAGTGGAGGGAGAGGAGGCAAAGGAGGAGAGAGAGCGAGGAACGAAGGGAGCGCATGGTGGGTTACTTTTGCTGTAGAACAGAGGGGATTGGGTCGCGGAGACGGGGGGATACGAGTGGGGGAGGGCAAACGGTGGGTGGGGGTGGGAGTGAAGGTGGGAGTGGAGGTGGGAGTGGAGGTGGGAGTGGAGGTGGGAGTGGAGGTGGGAGTGGAGTCGGAGGGAATGTGAGGGAATGCAAAATGGGATTGTACCTAAAGATTGGGGTGCGTCTAAAGCCCGCGTATAGAGCGAGGAAAGGGTGATGGGCGACGGGACTAGAAAGTAGAGTGCAAAAGGGGCGGGGGGCAACGACGATGCGAGAAGCAGAAGATGCAAACCGTATGAGAGGTGACAAGCATGAAGTGACGGTAGGGAGCGGGCCCGAAGAACGAGGATCAAAGTGTGTTGAGAGAGGGGGCGTGTAAGGTATTGCACACACTGGCGGAAGCGTTATTTTTACTTCTCAAACCATAATTGCTGTGCACTGTACGGAGGTAAGGCGTTTAGGCCCCGCCAGCGTGCCCACGGCGGAACCGACCGCTTATTATCTCGTTGGATACCGACGAGAGGCAGCGGCCGTGGAATTGGGGTGCTGTACCAAAAGTCACGGGGGCATATCGCACACCGAAAAACATCCGCCCCGTGCAACGCGCACGGCGCGCGAAGGCCGGAACGCTGCATGATGCCGACGGATGACAAGATCCAGCTGGCAAATGCAAGGCGAATTGGTGGGACGAGCTTCACGGTGACCCGAAACAACAACAACAAAAAGACACCCCCTTCAACAAACAAGCAACAGAAGAGCCGCGCTCCCGCGCCGCGCTCGCCCTCTCCCACACCGTGTGAGATGGGGGTATGGGAGGGGGAGTGTGAGTCACACGAGCCACGCACTAGATCCATCCTGTATTTTTCCAGACACGCACAACGGCTTCCCGTCTCAGATACGCAACGCCCTACAGGTATGCAAGGGGCGTGCTTTTAAAAATGTACGGCTTGACTCTTCGACCGCTCCGTGTCACGCATTCTCCAGGCCTACCACCTCCGCTCGACCTATCACAGATCTCCGATCCAGGCATCCCATTGCCTCTCATCGGTTCCTACGCAGATCAACGGGAGCAAGCATCGGATGGCATGTAGTATTGATACGACAACATTTTTGCCGTGTCAGCATGGGAATGCAGTTTGAATTTAGCGCACACGTCACTGATCACGGGTATCATACAAAGCCGGCAAGTGCAATCTGGTGGCGCCCCGTGGCTGCCGGGCGACAGCATCGCAACATGGTTGGTGCAACGAGTAAAGGAATATGGGGAGCGTGTGACACGGGGAGCATCGGAGCGATGGGCGACCGCTACGTAAGGCTCCGAGATGCAAACTTGAACCTTTTTAGTATTCCACTCGCTATACAGACCAGGGGTAGACTATGTCGTAGATACCCCTGTTGATACCCGCCGTCATAGCCCTGACCACCGTGCTCGCTGCCATCACGTCCGCACGAGTTGGCCACTGTGGCGGAGGTAGAGTGCAAGATCAGGGTACTGTACACCGTGCTGACGTCCTCTTTCTCTATTCACGAAGCTAGTGCGACGACGGTACGTGCAGTGTTTGCTACAGACCCTGGAACATCCGTCTGGACAACTAATAAGGGCGTACACTCTCCATCGCAGAAGTGCACTATGCCGGAGGCAGTTGCCGGCCTTGTGAAAAAAAAATAAAAAAACTCCAACGTGCATCTCCTCGATACAGTAGGGCTGTCTCACAAATCCACTCGACGGTTTTGACTCCTCAATTCCAGCGCGATATTTGATTGTGGATGAGCTTTCCGCCACTATCGCAGCAGGGAATGTTTCTTTTTTCCAACGCTGTCCCTCCGTGTAATTCATGTCCAAAAATTGTCAGTTGAGAGGCGTCGCCACCATTCAGTTGTAAATCAGGCAACATGAAAATGCCCTCAGAAAGACTATATGTGTCTAGGTACATCACGATGCTTGCACCTTGGCGTGCTTTAATACATAGTCAATCGACCGGTCGCAGGATTAGAGCATCCAGGGTGCAATGTGAATAAAAACGCCCTTGTCTCAGGTGCTCCAGAGCACTCAACAGTTTGGAGTCTCATCGTCTCTATTTTTCGGTAAATCAGTAACGGCAGCAAAATGTTTAAATATTTTTGAATTTCTTGACTCTGTACTGTGCGCAATCAGAACAGACCATAAACCTCAGATTAAACGGGGGAGGAAACTGTCGCACTGGTTATGACCCTTTCTCATTTCAAACGTAAAGAGCATTTCTGTCATGCGAAAAGTCTGTACCTCCTCCTCCCTATTCGGATAGCAAACTCATTTCACTTAGTTTCCCGCCAAATACTTGCAAAATGGCTGCGCAATCTCGATGCCGTTCCCCATGCTGCTGGCAATAGAGCACGCACTGCACTGTACGGTATGTAGTACACTCACTGCGAGTACATACTACTACAGTATGTACTCGCAGTGAGTGCCATCTAAAAATGATATTCAGAAGCACTTCAACCAAAGTGCGCTCCTTGTGTCCTTGGAACACGCGACTTGCACTCTGATAAGCGTCGCTGTTACATCCACTCGTTCATCAAGCTCTGCATCTCGTTTTCTCAGTGCTAGACTACACCCGTGAACAGGATTTAGTATAGCCCAGACTATTTTACAGGAGCCTTAAAATGAGGATGAAACAGGAATTAGTATAGCCTATACTAATTCCGTACCCATGCTATTATGGGGCGTGCGGATATAGTACAGTACAGCCTACATTACTGCTGTTTTGGAAAAATTCTTTAAGAACGTTGGGGGTTTCCTAACGGCAAATTATCAGGCTTCAAGGCCGTGAAAGTCGCCGCACAATATTTACGATAGCCTATACTAATTCCCGGGCGACCCTAATTTAACCACCAGACTAAATCCTGTTCATGGTGTACAACATTATACGAAATCAGAGACTTTTATCATTCAAAAATTTGCACCTTGAGTTCCCGCCTCACTTGTAGTGCTGCAGATGCTCTGGGCACAGCTCAATTGGAGTTTTCAACGCAATGCAGTGTAGTACATTGTGACCGTAGCCACATCGAAAGTTCTCAACGCATACGCACATAAAGGTTCGTAAGTAACAAACTGCTGTCACAGCTTATGAGTGGCCTCGATAATTTGCCAGCTGGTGACAACAGCAATTTGTGGGGCAAGGATTTGGTTTACTTGGCAACTGTCAATCGCATTATAGGGATTCAAGATGCTCACATCATGCCGTTGATCACAAATCCGTGCGGTGCGTCGGATACGCGCTCCAAACCTCCAAGGTGCAACGAACAGTGAGTAGACTAGCAAAAATACACGTCTTGGAAACACGGCGGAATGCGCCAACGATGTGCTTCCGTGTTTCAATAGACGTCCGCGGCATTGAGAGACAAACACCATGAAAATAAACCGCCTGCACCGCAAGTTACCGAAATTCTTGAATTGCCTCTTGTGCCGTCTCTACATTAGCGTCTGCATCTAAAGTCAATCTGCGGCTTTGCCCAGCACTGTGTGTGCAACAGCTACTACCGTTTCCCATAGATCTAGCTATACCTGTGATCATTGCGTCTGCAGCAATGAGTATACTGAATCCTGACCCCTAGACCTCTGGCGATCAGAATGAGCCAACTCAAACCTGGTATACCTTGCATGCCCGTTGATGCTTGAGCATGATCGTGGTCCTCGTGCCATGAGGGATTCTTCTGAATTGTTTGCCGATGGCGCAGGACAGATGCTGGTCTGTCGGCAGTTCTACAATCAGATATGCCCTAGTCTTATGGTTAGATTACCTGGCAATGCGCTGCTTTCTGTTCTTGTACAGTACCCTTGGTACCCTTAAAGGGTATTAGGAACGCTCACCTGGGCTGATCCTTTTCTGTCGTTTCATAGCAGGCCGCAGGACTGATAGCGTGCTTGTCGTGCGATCCGCCACCGTTGTCAGCCCTATCAGTGCAAGAGACCGTTGTTTGCCTTGTTGCTTTTATGGTGCATAAGAGACCTCAACTGACTCGCAAGAGGGACAAGATATTCGCAGTATGGACATTCCCAAATTCCGGCTCAGAGGGGCTCAGAGGGCCGTAACGTGCTGTACTCGATAAACCCATTTTGACCTCTCAAAGCGCTGTCACGCAGGAGAAGTATCCATGTCACTGGCGTGATGAAGAGAGTTTTTGTCGTGATGGGATGTTTTTTTCCGCACCAGTGCGCATCTCGCCTACACGTACTGTACCTGTCTCAATCAAAACCATGAGCTCGCAATCCGGTAATTTAAGACTTTCCTGAAGACCTTCGCGTTTTTATCCCACTCCTTTGCACTTCTCTGCACTGGAGAGAGATGGACGGAGCCTTGTCAAGCAGGGGGACATCCCGCAGATGCCGAGAAAACGTTCGAGTGCTCAAGGCTGGTTTGGGGCGACTTTCCATACTGTAGCATCGCATGAATGCTTGTTTGGTGAGAGGGAGCAACCGCACAAAACGGTGAGTACCGTGCCGCCCCCTGCAGAGAGCAACCCCGTGACAAACAAGTAGTTTGACGAGCATGGGAAGGAGGGGGAAGGTGTGGGTATTATAAGGCGACCCATGCAATACCCGATAGAGTCGCCCTATATCCAGTCCTGCCTTCATGATTCCTTTTGTGACTGACTCACCATCGCCGATTCCAAGCACGCTCCCCATAAAAAGATATTCGGAGCTAATCCTTCTTGATCTGGAACGTTCGCCGCAATGACTTCGGGCGCGGCCTACGCCGTTTCTGCAAGCAGTCGCACTCCCTGCGCCCCAAAGTTTTGAACGAAACCATCATTCTATCCGCTGTTGAAGTCCCTCCCGCCACCGCCGCCGCCGTCGCCGTCGTCAAAGCCGCCCTCCCCGCCCTGCCCCGGCCAACTTCCATTGTCGTCGCCTCCGTCCTCAACGCCATGTGTAGAGAGCGCAACGTCCCGTAGCCGTTGAAGTCCTCGCACCGTCACAACACAGGGAG